TCGAGAAATCGGTCATATGCGGAGAAAATGTCCAAACGTGGCAGGCCCATCAAATCGGCCCGTCTAAAAATGTATTTTATCCACTCTTAAATATTAATAATATTTTCTTTTTTTATGATTCAATTTATTATTTTATATACTCATTAGGTAATATAAAATATCATTTAACTAATTTTAATACATAATAAATAATTAATTAGATAATGTAAAAAACAATTATTTATATTTAATAATTAATTATATAATATGAAATTAATATTATTTATATTAAATTATTTTTAAAATAACTAAATTATTTTTTTATTATTATATAATATTATTTAAATAATTTTAATATATCAAAAACAATTAAAAACACAAAATTATTAAAAAAATAATATAATAAATTCTGAAATAAAAAAAAAACAAAAAAAAAACAAAAAAAAAGAAGCAGCTAGCTAAGGGTCGGCCATCCATTGGCCGAACCCATGCTGCGTCCAGAAGACTTTCAATGGGTCGTCCAACCATAGGACGAACCCTTAAAGAAGTAGTGGCAATTGTGTAAATTTTTTTCAGCTAGTGGCAATTTGGTGTATTTTATTTCAGCTTGTGGCAATTGTGTAAAAAATTCTTTGGTTCTTATTTTTTTGTGTGTTTTGGCTTGGTTTTACAGTTCGTGAATTGGTTAACGTTTGCCTTTCCGTAACTGCACACCAACCATTCGGTAAAATGCATAAACTGAAATTTCTCGCTTTTTAATTTGTTTCGGTTCTGTTTAGGAACTGTTTTAGATTGCAAATCAACTCCTCAAATGGTTATGACTTTTCAATTGGATTTTGGTGAGGTATCCGCGTAGTAACGAATTTTTGGCGGTTTCTTGTGGTTCTTGGTGAGTTATTGATGAAGGTTGAAATTGGTGATGAAGGAGGTCAAGTTTGGTATTGGAAAGATGCTGAATTTTCTATGGTTTGTGTTCATGGCAAGGTTCGGATTTTCATGGTAATCGTCTATTCAAGATGAAAAGTAAGACAAATACATAAAAAAAAGCATGCAAAGAAATCTCAAACAAAAGCAAGCATAGAAAGCACAAGCAAGCAGGCATTCATAATAAATAGAGTTTCAGGCTTACCGATCGGAGACCCTCCGATGGTTCTTCAATGGCGGTACAAATTCAATTCGATAAGCAATTCTTTGTGACTTTTTATGAATATTTAGAGAAATTGAATAAATTTACATGGCATCATTTGAATGCATGTGTGAGTATTTACATGGTATAGATGAATGACTTATGGATGCATTTAAATTGATGATCATGGATGAAATGATGTATTACATGAATGCTGAATTTTTGGTTAATACACATGATTTATGGGGTTTTACATGTTGTTTAGAAGTGAAATGGGAATGATGCATACTATATAATTTGTATTTATGGTGTATGCATATCATGCTGAATTTTTATAACTTAGCATTGAATTTGATTTGTTTTTGAATGGTTTTGCATATGATGTGAATGTATGTGCATGTGTTGAATCAATGGTATGAACTTAAGATGTTTTTCATGTGTATTTGCAAATGCTCTTGATGCTGAATTTTGTCATGTAAGTGCTGAATGTTGTAATTGAATGTAATCTCTAACTTGTTTTTTTCTTGTTTTCTTTGCAACATGTACATGGTAATGAAGGATGAACACGCATAGCCACAACATGTACATGGTAATGAAGGATGAACACGCATAGCCAAGAATGAAGCATGAATGAAGACTATTGAAGAGTTTGAAATTATTTTTATTGTCTTGTGTATGAAAGTTATGTAGCATGCTGTAATGACATAAAGTGATGTAAACTGAAGTCATGTAAATGTAAAGACACTTTTTAATAATTTTTGAACTTTATGTATATGAATTTAAAGACCATGAATAAAAAGGGATTATGACTTAAAAAGTGTCTTAAAAAGGTGAAGTTGATACAAGGATTCGGACCATGTAGTGTATGTCAAAAAATTATTAAAAAGTGTCTTACACTACATGTAGTGTATGTCAATGATCGATATCAAGTTTAACAAAGTGTCTCCCTGAACATGTAGTGTATGTCACCTAACTACTAGACCATGAATTGCTTAGAAATTAAAAATGTATCGAAAGATCAAAAATGTAGGTTAGATTGAATGACTTATAACACATATTATGTAAAAATGTGAAATGCATGCTTGATTGATATGTCGTGCACATGGTACACCTATTTTGTATATGATGTAATGACTTAAAGAGGGAGGATGAATAGGTTTAGGAACGCCTAGGATAGTGGTCAAATGTCTGGTCAACAGGGTCGAAGTACTTCTTGATTTAAGTCAAACATCATAAAAGAGTCTTTGATTTAATTGTTGAAAATGAAGATGAAAAAAGTCATAAGTCAGGTAATAAAGAAAAAAGTAGGACAAATTTTGGAGTATGACACGTACTCGCGCCCATACCCGCGTATTTTAGCAGATAATTGTTTGTGATTTGTGTCCATGTCTGTATCCATTTTGCGGGTTTTAACCCTAACCATTATGGATAATTTTTGTCGATATCCTATAAAGATTGATCAAATTGTCATCTCTAATATAGATCAAATACATCAATTATTTAATAAATTTAAAAAAATAAACAAAAAGAGAAAAAATAATTATTTGAGCAAAGTTTAAAGTTATTTATATAATTATAAATTTCATTTTATTTTTAGATGATAAATATATTATGTCAGCTTATTTTAAGATGTAATTAATTATTATATATATGATTATAATTATTTATTTATTAATCATTTAAAATAATAATTTAACTTGCATCACACTAGTGAAATTTAGTAAATAACATCACCCTTATACATAATATTATAATGATAAGTAAATAACACTTTATACATTAATACTTACACCCGATAATGTTTATTGTATGTATACAATGAATTATGTTTTTGTTTCTCAATTTATTTTAAAATTAATTATATATAAAAAAATTAAATTTATCGATTAAGATTATGTTATTAATCAATTTCATTATTGCATTAAAAGCAATCATTGAAAAGGCAGAAGACATCGCTACATTTGTTATTATGAGCATAATAGATAACATTTAGTGTGACAGGAAAACAAGTATTTTTGAAAATAAAAATGTATATGTGGAAAGTATCCTCAATCGTATTCAGCAAAAAACAACCTAAATAAGAATCACAACAATAATGATGGTATTAAAAAATGTCATATCATGAATAAAACAAAGATGGAAGATTAACAGGTGGAGCGCCAAAGTCATTTACCAAATAATTAGGAGATTCAAGACTTGTCGTATCACAAGAAGAGGGAAGGTAAGTTTCGCAATAGTAGAACCAACACTCACATGCAAAACCAAGATGAGAATCAGAATCAGTGTACGAGCAAAGGAAATAATAATGATGATAGTAGGAGCAAAGGAAGCTTTTCACCTCAAGTGGAAAAGGGGGAACATCACAGAAAGTGCTAAGAACATCACCTACATGTCAAAAGACAAACAGACTATCAGAGTTAGTTAACAATAATCAAGGGTTAAATTGAGGAGAGTTGAGATATAACAATCTACCTGAGGTTAAAATTATCAAAGTAGATGTGAAGCCTCATTTGAAGCTACTGAGCCTATCCATGGTTTCAATTGGTGAAAACTTCCCGAACCAGGATGGATTATATGTAACTCTGATGTCGCCCTTGATAGTGAAGGAAAATAAGGGTTAGGTGTTGTTTTCAGAAACGATAAGGGGAATTTAATGGCTGCTTGTACGAAATTTATAAATGGTGGAGAAAACTCGTTGTTAGCTGAAGCAACCTCGCTCAACAGAGTGACTGCCATTGCTATGGATTGTTGTTTCTTCAAATCTCACTTTGAAACCGACAACGAAACACTCGGCACAAATGTTAAACATAAATAATTACGAGCGATCAAAAGTTGGGTAGATATTAAGGCGATAAAGACAATAGCTAAAGGGGTTTAGAGAAGCTAGGGTTTTATAGGGTAAGAGAACAACCAACAAAGTAGCCCATGTTTTATCCAGCTAAATTTCATTTGAAGTGGATTGAATCGAGGACTCAATTTGTATAAAACCCATTACAAATTGATAGGCCCCGTATATAATCATGTTTTCTTTTGTTTAATAAAAAATCATAAACTTTAAAATATATTAACTAATATTTACATTTTATTAACCAACTTTATTTTATTTTATTTTGAATTTATTAGCCAAATTATAATTTGGATTTACTAACGTTAGCCTTATGACCATTAATCAAAGTTTTTAGTAAGACTGCAACTTAATAACTAAACTATAAACTATATTAATCAATTTTTTATATTCAACTAATTAATTATATTTTTTCACTTAAGATTACTTAACCAAATTTTGGCACCATTAATCAAAGTTATTTTTGAAGAAAGAGAAAAACATATGTAAAAAAAAAATGATAAATATTACAATTTACCATATTTGTGAATACGGCATGCGGGTATCTATATAATTTTAGTGTCAAAATAGAAATTCTTTTTGTAATATACCGTGTAATTACATCTATAATTTGGGTATAAATATTGTTAATCCATCATCCATGCCCAAAACAGTAGTAATGTATTCTGATATGAGAACTCTTTTCCCACCAGTAGAAAACTGTGGTAGTAACTTTAGGGATGGTAAAAAAGTTCCCTTATGTAATACAGATAACCACTAGTAAGCAGTCCCCACAAAAGGAGCACATCATGGGTCAACATAATCTTCTCTAGTCACCTTAAAACAACAAATTGAATCCTAAGTCACTTGTAGACCATTAGATTTTCTCTCTTAATCTAGCTGAGCTGGCTGAAGTCGGATGTAGAGGATCCACCAGATTCCTTAAACCTGACTCAGATCACAACAATTTAGATTCCCTACTTGAGGCACCTATTCTCTTTCTAATTTCTATGATAATCTGCATTTTTAACTGTCACTTTACTTCCTTAAACCACATGACACATTGAATGTTCAGAATTCTGCAATTCTCTTCAATGACAACGTTGTTACTCTGTCAAGAATCAAGATCATTCTCTGTACTAGCTCTTCAAACGACGGCCGTTGTTCTGGATCACTGAACGTAAAGTTTTCAGTTTGAGTTAGAAGACATTAATTAATCTGTCATAATAAAACTGCAGGGATTAATGAATATATGTATACTGTAAAAGCACCTTTGCCAGCAGTCATTTATGATTGAAGCTACATGCGGGTCAAGCCCCTCCGGTAGGTCCAGTCTTCTATTCATAAAGCCTACTACTCCAACGACCTTTCAAATTAAATACATAAATTACAATATCAGATGATGCATGTCAAAATATACCTGCGATTCCGATGTGCAGTAGACCTTAGTCCAGAAGCAGAAAGATTCCGATGTGCAGTAGACCTTAGTCCAGAAGCAGAAAGCAAAAACAAATGTCTGATGTATTCGTGATTTGTGTGTGCATAATGCGTGAGAATGTTACAGAGAGAAACCTGTAAAGAATTCAAATTTTTCCATGGAATAGATTGAGTCATTATTTCCCAAAGGACGACTCCATAACTGAACACATCAGACCTGCATAAAAGAAAATGAGAAGCCATTTAGAAATTAGGACACTGATTGAAAAAACTCAAAGGACATCCATTTTGAAATTTCTCTTTAAATAGAAGATTGTAAACGCTGCTATATCAGGGTTTAACAGTTACAATCGCGGTCAATGAATCTGTAGAAAATTACAAGCAAATACAACTGGCCACAATTGAGACAAGTACTGTGATTGATTGATTCCTCAAACCGAGACCATTATGACAGATTAGAAAATAGTTATAAAAAACAACCATTTGGAAAATTTTAAGAGAATGATCCTCAAAGTTTTAAAATCATTTCCAGTTTTTATAGACAATTTTCCAGACAGAACACGAACTTTAAGTGTCAGCTCCAAAGAATTACTTTTCATTTGAAGGTTCACTGCGGAGAACTTCAGGAGCCATCCATTGAGGCTGCATTTTGACAGGAAAATAGACTTGTTAGAAAGAGAGAACAATAAAACTGATTTAACCAAAAACAGTATAATTTACACTGTTACTAGGTGTTCAAATCATATTTTTGTATATCAAAAAGAAAATAAGTGAGTATTGTCAACAGTATAATTTACACTGTTACTAGGTGTTCAAATCATATTTTTGTATATCAAAAAGAAAATAAGTGAGTATTGTCATTACGGTGCCTCTTCCGGATTTGGTAGTCAGTAAAGTTGATTCCTTTAACTTCGACAGGCCAAAGTCTCCAACCTGAAAAAAAAACAAAACTCATTACCAACTGGTAGATATCTACATGGGACTAATGAATGCATTTTCAAGCAATCTTTACCTTGACATTCCAGTTTTTATCAACAAGCAGGTTGGAAGATTTTAGGTCTCTATGCACTATTGGTGGATTTCTGTGATGAAGATAATTCATTCCTTTAGCCTACATTAAAACAGAAAAGTGATTCAAAAGATTGCAAATAAAGGCTTGAACTTGACATGAGTGTGCATGCGTAAGAAAGAGAGAGGGTAACTCACAACATCAAGAGCCATTCTAAGATGCCTTGTGATGTCTAACGTTTGATTGTTCTTGTGAAGTGTTCTGAAAAGGCTTCCTCTACCAATGCAAATAGTAATAATAGTCAATGCAAAGATTCGTAGTGTGGACAAGAGATTGGTATTCGCTAATACACATGTCTATTATCTAAGGAAACAAAAATATAAAAGATGCATGGTACTTTACATGCATCTAACCTAAGAGTTACTCCATTACTAGTTAATATAACAAGGTATAGGATGAAGTTGTCCAAGCTCTTACCTAGGTAATAACTCTGTCACTATGGCATGCCTTTCCTGAGAATATATTGCTCCCATGAAAAGCAATACATTAGGGTGTCTCAATCTTTTCATTATATCAACCTGAAGTAAGAAACCAAAAATTTCAGTGATTAGTAGCTTTCAAAAGCAATAGTAAAAAAAAACACAGTACCTCTTTTTTGTAGTCTCGTAACGTTTCCTCTGCATATCCGTTCCCAAAGTAAACCTTGACAGCAACGTCCTGATAAAAAGAAAATAAGCTTTCAGGCAAATAGCAAGTCAATACTCCTTATAAGACAATTGAAGAATATGCTAAATCTATACCGATGCATTCCAAATTCCATGATAAACAACAGCATAAGAACCTGTAAGATAAAGTAAGGCATCAGAAAGATATAGATAAAATTAAATTCTACTAACTATTTTAAGGAACATCCATTATAAATTTATCTCAGTCTCTTGAAGCAGAAAATTTCAACATGTTTTTTCATCATAATATATATCATTCACTAGATAAAATTTACTTGGCTAAAGGACTCAAAAAATGCACAACAAAATTAACTACCTTGCCCAATCTCTTTTCTTAATTGAAGGTCTTCCCAATGGATTTCACACTCTACAACAGAGTTTGATTCACTTTTCTCTCTGCTTGATGAACTCGCATCGTCACCTATACTCTCCTTTGAGCTCCCCAACGGAAACCCTTGCCGCTGCTTTTGCACTTCATCTTTTATCACCATATTCATAGCTTCTGGCTCTAATTTCTTTGGATTGAATGGACAGCGTAATCTTAACAAAGGATCGTGGGGAAAGAGAGAACCAGAACATTCACAACAGTCCTTTGAGAATGGTTTAGCTGAACTATCTTTGAAAACACTAGAAGTTCCATGTGTAGAAATTTTTGCATCTGTTATATTTACAACAAATAAAGAATTACATTTTTGGAGATTTCCTTCTTTATCTTCTGCATTAGAAATATCCTGGTGCAAGGTTAATGCAACTGAACTTCCAGATAAATCATTTCCATTATTCATTCTATTACTTCCTGAATTATCATCAGTTGTGCAATTATCTTTAATACTTCTATTATCCTTCCTTCGTTCTCCACTTCTCCTAATTCGAAGTTTAGCAAAGACTCTAGCAGCCTGAAATGATTTAACCATACTAATGATCATATATCTTAACCATATAAAGAGTAAAATCAAAAGTATCACTAACAAACCAAAACAAATACTGACACATGTCTCACTACATTTAGAGTTATTATCGTAGTATTGCCTTATAACACAAACTAGTCAACTAGAGTAACTAATGAAAGGAAAAATAGAAGATTTACTTACAATTTTAGAAGGTTGGCTAAATTTAGCTGTAGACTTATCCTTCTTGGCCTCCTGGACAGTTGTGTTTTCTTTTTGGTGACTTCTTGAACGAGAATCTATTTCCTGAAATTAAAATACCAGGGCCAGAATCTCTTAAAATATAATTAAATAGCTACGCAGATACATCCTCAAGCTGAACAGAACATACATAAATGCTATGTTTCCCTAGTTTTTCGTCATCTGCGTCTGTTGAAGTGTTCTTGCAAACTGTGTCCGCTGTATGCCGGAGTGGAAGAGACTTTGATGCCTGGTAGATATAAAAAACCAGGTGATATGACACGATTTCAATAATTGATCAGATGAACAAAAATGAGCTGTGTTATTTGAACAACTAAAAATTAGACAACTTTTGCTACAACTTTGTAAGTTGTAATTGTGGTTAGTTACGTTCAGTAAATAATTAATAGATATACCAGGTGTCAAAACTCATTAGTCGTCAGCCTTACATCATTAACCACAAATTTAAATGTGATTAACCACAATTTTTCAGGTGTTCAAATACACATGTAGTTGAAAACTTGAAACTATTGTGGTTAATGGAATTTGACACTAATCTAACTTCAGTTATAAGAATATCAAAAGAAGTAGTGATGAAACATGTGAGAACCATATTGGGAACAGATGATGCAATTTCTGGGCTTGGAGGCCACTGAATCCTTTTTAACCTTTGAATTCCAGGTTGGTCATTCGCACGAGATTGGCAAGTTCTTCGATCGTTGAAGTCCTTAGAGTTAAATACAGATGCATCACTAGAAGCAGTGATAACACCAACAAGCTCACCATTCTCATAAAGAGGAGTTTTGGTTACCATTGCCATAAATATTTCACCAGACCTCTTCTTGAAAGGAAACTGCCCAGACCATGGCACCCCTGTGATCAACTGTTCTAGAATTTTTCTTAGAGATACGAAATATTCCTCAGAAACTAGGAAATCAGCTACTCTTTGTCCAATTATCTCATGTTTCTTCCATCCATACAGAGTTTCTGCTGAATCATTCCTGAAATAAAAAGTTTAGGTTTGTCACAAAACCAATCAGGTAAGCAAAAAACAATTGTAAATGTAAACACCAAAAGATGAAAAACAAAAGAAGTGAAACCTTTATGGAGAAAGGAATTGATTGCCAGTGAAAGCAAATGCTACTATCTTTTTTCTTAGTAAAGTCAAGATTGATTGCCAAATACCGAAGAAAATTCCTAATTTCACCATACATGTTTAGCTAAACCAAGAAAACATTATTTCTCAATCCAACAAACTTATTGCATGTTTGTATTGTATCCAAAAGTGATTCAGAAGACTTAAAATAGACTTTGGTATGATTCTCAATTAAAATTGATTATGTCTATAGAATTGGTAATAACTTAAAGCTATGATTGGTAGTTTTTGCCTCCAAATATGATTCTTATTACCCTCAAAGTAATTTTCCAACCCACTTTCATTTAAATTTATACATAATCACTTTAATACTCTCAATTTTACGAAATCAATTTAGAACCAAACTGAGTCGGTTCTCCAAGAATAATATTCATATAAGTTTTAAGCTGTTTGCATAAACTAACTTGAGAGCTACTAGAAATAAGTTGAAAACAGTTTATAACCACCGTGTAAGCTATTTCGAACTCAGAAAAATCAAACCAAAGAGGCCCAAACTTGAATCTAGCTTGTATGTCAGTGAAAACATATATCAAACACCATTCATACATTCTTACACTACAAGCCTACACCTGAAAATAATTAACGCATCCTATTCCTCACTCGATCTTCCCTATAGATTTAAACTGTTTCATTGCATAAGCACATCACTATTCTGAAGAAATTAACACTACTTTTGAACAAAATAAAATAACGATCATGCATGTATGTATGTGTATTTGGTTATTACCAGTATACGATCTCGCCGGAGGAAACTCTATGGATATGAACGGCGTGTCCCATGCATTTCAAAACGTTAGCATAAGGACTTATAGAGAAGAAGAAACCGGAAAATATACCACCGGCTAAATAATCTTCATTGTCTTTGACCTTCTCCTGCATCAACTCATTGAACTGCTCCGTTAGCTTGACTTGTTTCTCCTCCAAGCTCCGACATCTATCCACCAGAACTTGATACGCACTATTTTGTCTTTCCATGAAGTCGCCGGAGTTTTTATCTTTTCCGGTGTGTATTGCGCGCTGTTTTGTAGCGATTAGTTAATTTCTCAGTTTCATCACTATACAGGTAACTTTTTAATTAATTATTCTGTATTTTTAATATTTTTGGCACTGAGTTTGTAACTGTTGGGGTTAAAGGTTGTTAGCCACGTGGGTATGATGCGGACAGGTATTGGGTCGCTAGAATGAACAACCAACTGCGTCTCTCCAAATAGTGCCGCGTTTTCTCTCCTAAGAGCACCTCCAATGGTGCAACATATTTTTGGGTTCTTTGTGGGACCCATTCTTCTAAAGCAACTCATTCAATTTTCACTCCAATGGTGCAACTTCAAAGAACTTATATTAGGTCCCACCACTTTATTTAAAATATATTATTTATATTAAATTTATTTTATTTAAAATTATAATTTAAATATTTAAATTTTAATTTATATAAATACAAATTAAACATAAAATTAAAATTAAACATAAAATTAAAAATAATAATTAAAATTAAATTTAAATACATGTCACATAATTAAAAACAATAAAAATAAATAAGATCACATAATTAAAAACAATAAAAATAAATAACATCACATAAACAAATGTAATTTGAAATAAAAAGATGAAAATTTGGCCTAAACAAATGTAATTTGAAATAAAAAGATGAAAATTTGAAATAAAATGATAATGAGAAGAAATTGTTGGAAAAAAATTAAATATTTATGAATAAAATGATGAAATTGTGAGAGAGAAATTTGAAATTAAAGAGCAAATAAAAAGGAGAGAAAATAGGAATGATATAAATTTTTTCCAACAAACCTATATTTATAATAAATAAAAAAGTTAAAAAAAATAAAATAAAGCTAAATGATTATTTTAATAATAAACCAAATGAAGAACCGTTGCTTATGTTTGTATCGTTCTACAGCTGGAATAACATTTTGTTGACATTTTCAATGCCAAGCTGGCAAACCAATTTGAAAAACCACCGTTGGAGTTGGTCTAATTATCCTATTATCTAAATAAATTCTATAAGTATCCTACTTTTGAAATTTGTATTTTAATTACAAGGAGCCGCCAATTGAATCACGGTTCTTTGTTTTTATTTTATTATATTATTAGTGTCTAAACAATACTTTCGTGTCTATCTCTTCGTTTTTTTTAATTTTTATATGTAAAAATTTTAAAATTTTTTATTTAATATTAATTTTAAATAAAAGTTATATAAAAAATTAATAGTAAAAAATTGTTCTGGACTGGGCCTCGGCTCGGTCGAGCAGGTCCAATCCTGTTTTTTCTCTAGGCCCAAAACATTGGGAATGGCTGCGGCGGACACACCATACCCTTGTCGGGCATGTGTCCCTTGTCGGGCGCGCGTGATTACTCGACACGAGGCCCTCCGCGGGCAGAATCTCCTCCTCGGGTCGAGCAGAATAGACGTGTCCTTCACACGTTTTCCACGTGCTCCCCTCCGCGGGGACACGTCGCTCCCCAACTGCCCACCTCTGAAAGAATAAGTCCATTTTCCAGAGTTCACGGAGCAGTTGAACTAGGGCGAAGACCACGTTCTGGTCTTCACTACGCCACGTAAGCCCTAGCAGTCACTTGGGTTGGGTCTGGTCATCCAGTCCAACTCAAATGACCGTTGGCCCAGCGCTGGGGTTTCTCTCTATAAATACCCTCTTTCACAAGAGGGGCAGGTATTCACTTCTTACCCTTCGTATTTGCTGTCACTCTGCCCAATTTTCTTACTTTGGCATCGGAGTGTCTTGCAGGTAGCAGCCCAGCAGAGCGTGGCCAGACTGATATTTTCTTCTGATCAGGTCAGATCAGTGGCGCCGTCTGTGGGAATCTGAAACTTCCCCGTTACTCCGAGCAGATAACCAAATTTTCCATTCAATCACTTTACGATCATGTCTAGCCCGCCTCACGGTGATACCGTCCTCGAATTAGCCCAGGCTCCCGCCGCGAACGGTAGCAAGCAGACGGAGACGTCCCTACGTCCTGAGACCGATGAGAGGGACGGCCGCACCGCCTCCCCCTCACCCGACGATTCTGTCCAACACACCGTCCGGAGGCCGAGGAGTCCACCAGCGTACCAGCCCATCCTTGTCCCGGCTGGAGCGGATCCGACGTTGGCTGCCATTTTTGCGGCCATCAATCAAACAAATCAGTTGCTGTTTCAACAAAACACACGCATCGGCGCACTGGAGCGAGAAGCCTCGTTATGGTCCCCCCCCCCCCCCCCCCCCCCCGCGGGAAGACCAGAACGGCGACTCTAGGAGCCCATCACCCGTCCGACGGACCGTCGACCTCATCTAGAGTGACCCCAAACCGCAGCAGTACGGGAACGAAGTAGGTCGCCCAGGAGGCGAGCCCGGGAACAACGACCAGCCAGAGGAGAACCCCCGGTTAGACCTTTGAGGGTCGATCCCCCGGCCAGACATCAGCGATCACGGAATCAAGCTCCGCCACCTCCAGTTCGGTCACCCCCTCAGTCTCCAATCCTCAGTGACGAGGACGACTACAGGACTCCCCTGTCCTGGAGATCATGGCGGCCCCCATCCCTCATGGAATGGAAAAGCCCCTAGTACTCTTGACGTACGACGGGACCACCGACCCTGACGACCATCTGGAGGACATCGAGGCCATGCTCGACTATCGTAATATCCGATGAGCCATCAAGTGCAGACTCTTCCCGACAACATTGAGGAAGGGTATCATGACATGGTACAAAAATCTGGAACCAGAATCAATCACATCGTGGAGAGTCCTGAAGGATCTCTTCTCGAAGCACTTCACAGCATCCCGACGCCATCCGAAGACTGAAGTCGCGCTGGGCGCCATAATCCAGGCCCCCGACGAGCCTCTCCGAAAATACATTGAAAGATTCACTTGGGAAGCTGTCCAAGTAACCACGTTGGACGAAATGAAGTGTTACCTCATGGAGCAAGGTCTACGACGAGAATCCAAATTTTACGAGGCCGTGACCATACACCGACCAGCCTTACTACAGGATTTCCTCGACAGGGCCACACACTACATTCGTTTCGAGGAAACCAAGGGGGCCAACTCCGCCCGGGAGACTCGAGACCGAGAGACCTCCCACGGGTCCCGAGAAGACGGAGCCTCCAATCACCGATGTAACACCCCCTTTCTATACCCTCAAATAACACAATTAAATTCATTTAGGCACTTAATAAAATTTCCATCAGAGTATAAATATAACACAGTATAAAAGAGGTGCGCTACATTATCCATGAAACGAAACACATAAATAACATTTGCTCATAAAGATATGTAACGAAAGGGATGAATCTCAACTTAAAACAAAGCATAGCTATTAAAACCCACGTATCAACATTCAGACTAAAGCGGAAACATCTAAACGTTGAATCACTTCATTAACATAAACATGTTTACATCATTCAGATTAGTTTAATACATCAGTCATGGTTACAAAGCATACATCAGCAGATACATACACAGGTGTATCACAAAAGAATCAAAACAAATTCCTAACTACCCCGTGTTACATATCAGAGCCATCTGACCAAAAGAAATGAAGACTCGCTTCACAAAAGACCTCCAGCAACCTACTCTGCAATGCCTCATAGAGCATTATAAAACAGCAGAAGGGTGAGAAACATTATCATCACGAACAATGCATAAAATCATGTATTCATATACACAATTATAGAACATACATAACTCACATTTCTCACCACAACATATATGCACATAGTCAAGCATATTCACCAAATCATGCTTCATAATTCATAACCTTTGACATAAACATTTACAATTATATTCATTCCACCAAAACACCATATACAAATGATAATGCAACTCATAGAGACCGACACATGACTCTATGCAGATGCAATGCGGTACCGACTCGCTTAGCAGGTTCAATTGAAGAACCAAAATGGAACCATCGCTCGTTACCGAAGTAACTCCCCATCGGGCCTATGATGTTCACCCATCGCTCACACCCCACATGGGCACACGATGTTTTAGGATTGCTCACACCCCACACGGGCACACAATCCGGTTGCTCACACCCCACAAGGGCACACAACTGTTCTGCAGATTCTCCATGGAATCAAAATAAACCATCGCTCACACCCCCCACAAGGGCCCACGGTCGTTTCTGCAGATCCTCCTAGGGATCAAAGTAACTAAACCATCGCTCACACCCCACAAGGGCACACGATCGTTTCTGCAGATCCTACGCGGGATCAGACTCACATGAATGCAATCATGATGCTACTCATGCAACACGACATCAATAAATTCTTAATGCACACATGTTCACAAACATACACATGCATTCATCACATTATACAAGTACATACAATTATGCACATTCACATCAATGTCACCAAGAAATTCCATTTAATTCAAACAATTGCACAATTTGCCTAAAGGCCACATCACATAATCCAGGGTTCACGCCATACGGCTACCCACAACACAAACAACTCGGCATGATCGATGCCTCGAGCAAGAAAATAATCAAAGATAAGTCGGAAACCCGACCACGGATGGATACATCAAAAATAAACACATCCTGCTACGCTCGCTACCCTGCTCGCTCAGCGAGCTTCTAGCAAGTGTTCGCTACATGTTCACCTAGCGAACAAGCTCGCGAAGGCAAACAGAAGCTTCTGACTTCATTCGCTACCTCGCTCGCTTAGCGAACCCCTAGCAAACCTTCGCTACCCCATTCGCTGCCAGCGAACACCACAACAAGCATTCTGCCCAAGGTCTGGGACCGTTCGCTACTAGCTCGCTTAGCGAACGTTCGCTACTAGCTCGCTTAGCGAACGTTCGCTACCAGCTCGCTCAGCGAACACGCTAGCGAATGCCTGCGAACTCAGAATTTCCTACTGCTCTACAACTCCAAAACTCTTGGATTCTCCCGATTAAATTCTAACATCAATCCGACAACTTAGTCTAACATCACCCGATATAAAAGCCATGACTTATTC